AGATTTATTTAATTAATTTGCTTCATCTTGATCTAACTTTGGTACAACATAAATCATTTGCATCTAGAAACTCACCTGTTTCTTTCAGAGTTTCCAATTTAATGTAATATAAATTTTTACACTATGTAATTGTGATTTTCTGAATTCCCTGTATTCTCATGTCTTCTTTTGTATTTCTAATTTTATTAATTTGGATCGTCTCTTTCTTTTTTTGTTTGCTTTGGCTACAGTTTGTCACTTGTTTATCTTTTCAAATGACCAACTCTATTTCGTTCTTTTCATTGTTTTTAAATTTTCCATTTAACTAATTTTTACCCTGATGTTCATTAATTCTCTCCATCTACTGCTTTTGGGATTGACTTTTTCTTGTTTTTCCAATGCCTTGGTTCATCATCAGGTTGTCTATTGGATATTTCTAATTTAGAGGTCAAAGCCTACCTCTTGGAACTGCTGTGTTTTAATTATCATTCAATTCTAGGAATTTTTATGTCCATATTGACTTCTGCAATGACCAAATCATCATTAAATATGGTGTTATTTTATCTCCAATAGGTTGTATATTTTCTGAGTTTTGCTGCAGATTTCTACCTTTATCCCAGTGTATTCAGCTAGAATATGGATGATTTTTCAATTATGCTATATTTGTTGAGACTTGTTTTGTGTGCTAATATGTGATCTATATTAGTGAAAGTTCCATGGGAAGCTGAGAAGAATGTGTATTCTTAGGTATTTGGGTGAGATATTCTGTCACCATCTGTTAGGTCCATTTGATGAAGGATGTTATTTCGTTCCAATGCTTCTTTATTTATTTTTTGTACAATTATTTGGTTTAGTGATGAGAGTGGTGGATTAAAATCATCCAATATTTCTGTTGGGGTTAATGTGTGTGTGTGTGTGTGTGTGTGTGTGTGTGTGTTTGAGACGCGGTATCCCAGTAGCTCCAGCCAGCATGGAACTCACTATATAGACCAGGCTGGCCTTGAATTCACAGAGATTCACCAGCCTCTGCCTCCCAAGTGCTGGGATTAAAGGCATGAGCCACCATGCCAAGCTAATGTATGATTTTAAATATAGTAATATTAGTTTTACAAAGTTGGATGAACCTATATGTGGTATGTATATGTTTAAACTTATAATTTCCTCTTAATGGACTGATATATTGATCAGTATGAAGTAACCCTCTTACAGTTCCATGATAAAGAAAGTCTGTGGGTCTGATTGTAGAAGAGGTTTTATTTTGGGGGGTGGGTATTGATCAAGTTGATTCCAGAACTTGGAGAAGTAGCAGATAGAGTGATAAAACATTCCAATCCCCTCTAATTCCTAAATTTCTGTCAGTCACTTGAACCCACCTGGCTTCTTTCACACCATCTCGCCTAGAGTTCTGGGTCATGTCTTCTATTATTTGTTTGGTTTTATCTGGATTATTGTCATTTGAAGCAAACTAAATTTCTATCCAATAATTCTGCTCTTTGCCATGGATCTCCGTATGTGTTTCTTGGCACAAGGTTCAATGCTCCTGAAGTCAGTCTTGTTTGTTCCTCTTTGCAGTATTAAAGACACAAGCTTCTGTAGTCCTATACTCCACACAGGCCAGTTAGTCAGACGACTTTGGCATAAGTTTTGTTCTCTAATTATAAATTGCCTTGCATCCTTTACTTATTTTTTGTTGTCCTTAAAGAGAACTTCAGCTTCTTTCCTTCATGTATGAAGTACTTCCAAGGTACCATCATTATTTGCTACAAATCTCACACCACTGGTTCCTCAAGCAGAGGAGTGGTGTATCTTCTGCCTTTATAATTATTGCTTCTTAGCACAAGTGGAGAGACCCCAAAGTCTATAGCCATGTGTACAGTGTGACTTGTCATTTCTATAGCTGGTAAAACATATTCTTGATATAATTAACTATAAATGCAATGGATATTTTGCATGTCTTCACTGAATCAAGTAAGTTTCCATTCAAATTTGTCTTAAGATATTTCTCTCTCTCTGTTTTAGACAGCACCTATTGGTATGATATCTAGACTCTTTTCTAAGAATATTGTGCCAAGCTGGGTGTGGTGGCTCCATGCCCAGCACTCAGGAGGTAGAGGCAAGTGGATCTCAGTGAAATCAAGGTCAATCTGGTCAACATAGTGAGTTCTAGGCCAGCTAGGGCTACAGGGAGACCTGTCTGAAAAAAACAAAAGCAAAAATAAAAAGAACACTGCACCAGCATTTTGCCTATAAGAAAGGAACCAAGGCAACAAGTATTTAGGAAAGAGAACAACCTCTTAGTTGATATCAGATACTACATAGCTTTTCTTTGAAAAAGTTATTCCTAAAGACCTGTGCATGTTTGTGTATGTGCCTATATATCTGTGTGTGTATATGTCTGTATGTGTATTGTGTCTGAATGAATTTGTTCATGTCTGCGTGAATGTGTGTGTCTGTATGTGTATAGCATATGTGTGTATCTCTCTTTCTCTCTCTCTCTCTCTCTCTCTCTCTCTCTCTCTCTCTCGCTCTCTCTCTCTCTCTCTCTCTGTGTGTGTGTGTGTGTGTGTGTGTGTGTTTGTGTAGATCGGGGGGCTGAGAAATCCAGTGCCTCCTGAATGTCCAAAAATATTCTATTGTTGAGTTACACTTCCAGTACTCAAATGGTCTACTTTTTACTAGTAGAATTATAAAACTTGATGATGTGTAATTAGAAGTTTATATGCAATACTAGAAGTACATGCCACTTAACTAAATGTGAAGACCTATTTTTTTCAAGTTGACTATAAACGATGTTTTTCTACTTCCCTACATTCTTCATGGAGGACTGGAAGGGTTTGCTGACTAAGGATATTTAATTCTGGCGATGAAGTGATTCTCTAACATGCATATCTGTAACACTGGTGCCACTTGAATTCAAGGGATGACTGACAGGACTATGGTGTTGCTGCTTAAAATTTTTAATTCTTTTAAAAATAAAGTGTAAATAACTATGTTAAAATGAAAGACTAGAAATTTGCCTTTGGAACAAAAATTCTCAAAACAAAATTGCTGTGCTCTAAAGGAATGTCAAAGTTATAAGCACTCACAAATCTATAATCAAGGAATATAAGATCAAACAATATAAGATGATTTTTGAAATAAGTTTATAAGAAGCATAATTCCCACTTGGATGTGGGACATATATTTTATAAACTCTAGCTCTTCATTTTCAGTTTGTATGTCAGGATGGTAGAAGAAATACCTAATTTGATACTTTCCTCCAGGTATTTGTTATGTTGATTAACAACATAACATTTTGTGCTGCATAGGGGGGTATGATCTCTCCTGGCTGTGGAGAGAAGAAAGCATCTGAAAGGAAACAAATAATCTTCACCCTTACTCGGTGACAAATCCTGTGAACTGCTAAACTGGCCTGGCAGGATATACCCACTGGTTCAATAGTAGCACAAATATTATGGGAGTAGCCAACCACTCTTTAATTGGATTTAATGTCAGCTTCTCTGCTGAGAGTTAAGAGATGCATTAATCTACGTGTATGGCAATAAATAATTAGGAGAGAAATCTCCCAAAATATACCATGTTGAAAGAGGCCTTATTAGGTCACATACACATAAAGGATTGATCACTCAGTTTCTTGAGTTTCTTCATGTTCTCATAAATGTAGGAGACAAACGTGAGACAAAGTGAGAGGAACTGACCTTGGGGTGAGACCTGGTATAGCTACTTCCATAAGAAGCATGTAAATCAGATCTGAAACACAAATAATATCAGGTAGCATAGAAAGTTGAAATTATCTAACTTATTTCTGCGAATAGTGGACTCTGATCTAATATAAACAGATCATTGGGTTCCTCCAACCCCAATAGACCATCAGCAAATAGCATCTGACCTGCAGCAGAAATTTTATTGCTTTCCTGTAACCCACCTATCTGATGTCCTCACTAGTGGATTTGATAAATGCCTTGATTTATACCTTCCTGTCTTCTGTGACCATAAAATATTAATGAAACTACTTCATAATGGAACACACAGACACAGACACACACACACACACACACACACACACACAAAGAAAATAAGGCACCCCAAAAGGTGATATTTCAAGGCACTGCATTGTTGACAAATACAGATGTACATAAAGGAGAGCTATGTTTACACACACCCTGGCAGTACATCT